AAGCTGATTGAGAGCGATGGTGGTCGCAGAGGCGTGCTGCTCGATGTCATTGCACTGCGCTTGCAGCTGCTGGACTTGGTCGTTCTTGGATGCGTCCGAGGCTGCCGCAGCGGTCTCGAGCAGCTTCTCGAGGGTCTTGACAGTCGTCGTGAGCTCTGCGATCTGGTCGTCTTTGGCAGCCACGAGAAGGTCGTGGTCCAGTTGCTGCTTCTTGAGGTCTGCGCCGAGGTGCCCGACCTCGGCCTCCTGGACGACCGCGTCGATCTTGAGATGGCAGATCGTGTCAAAGTGCTGCATGGAGCTGGTTTCGTAAAACTTGCGCTCGGTCGTCGCCGTCGCGAGACTCGTCTCGAGCTCGAGGATACGAGTTTGGCGGGCGTTGGACTCGGTGGTCACGGCGGCCAGTTGGGCTTCCAGCGCAGCGATGCGCGATGCTTGCGCCGTGGCGATGGTGGTGGTAGGCAATGGGACTGGACGCGTCTCGGTGGTCGGTCGCGCGCGTGCAGGCGTGCGAGGTGCTGGTGCGGCTGCTTGGACGGGACGGGCTGGTGTGGTCTGCCGGGCGCGGGGGCGCGGCGGCACCGTGGTGCGCGTCACGGGAGTCAATGTGGCCTTGGAGGCGACGTTGGAGGAGCTGTTCCAGCGGGGCTTGGTCATCGTTGTCATGGTTGTTGTCGGTGTCTGCAAATCGGAGAATGAGCTCGAGATGCCATGCTTTTTCGACTTGTAAAGGCAAATAGGGAGCAAGTTCATTCGATTCTACGCTGACAAAGGCGACTTCATGCTCGTAAAGGCTAATTGGGAGCAAGCTCAATCGATTCTACGCTGACAAAGGCGACTTCTTGGGCCTTTACAAGTCGAAAAAGCATGGCATCTCGAGCTCATTCTCCGATTTGCAGACACCGACAACAACCATGACAACGATGACCAAGCCCCGCTGGAACAGCTCCTCCAACGTCGCCTCCAAGGCCACATTGACTCCCGTGACGCGCACCACGGTGCCGCCGCGCCCCCGCGTCCGGCAGACCACGGTAGCCCGTCCCGTCCAAGTAGCCGCACCAGCACCTCGCACGCCTGCACGCGCGCGACCGACCACCGAGACGCGTCCAGTCCCATTGCCTACCACCACCATCGCCACGGCGCAAGCATCGCGCATCGCTGCGCTGGAAGCCCAACTGGCCGCCGTGACCACCGAGTCCAACGCCCGCCAAACTCGTATCCTCGAGCTCGAGACGAGTCTCGCGACGGCGACGACCGAGCGCAAGTTTTACGAAACCAGCTCCATGCAGCACTTTGACACCATCTGCCATCTCAAGATCGACGCGGTCGTCCAGGAGGCGGAGGTCGGGCGCCTCGGCGCAGACCTCAAGAAGCAGCAACTGGACCACGACCTTCTCGTGGCTGCCAAAGACGACCAGATCGCAGAGCTCACGACGACTGTCAAGACCCTCGAGAAGCTGCTCGAGACCGCTGTGGCAGCCTCGGACGCATCCAAGAACGACCAAGTCCAGCAGCTGCAAGCGCAGTGCAATGACATCGAGCAGCACGCCTCTGCGACCACCATCGCTCTCAATCAGCTT